GATTTTCTTTTGAATGTAAAATACTTTGAGTTTCCCTAGAAAATAATTCCATATAAGTAAGTAAGAAAAGAATGGACAGCAAGAATGTAAGGCCTTGATCACAAGCAAATGTACACATAAATGTTAGAATCAGTTTATACAAAATGATCCACTTATCAAAAATATATACACACCATAAAGAGGTCCCAAAATTACTATCAAGAAGGTAATAAGATTTTTAGGGAAAGGACTCTCTTTACAAGCACAAAAACAAAATATTTGATTGAAGAGGGGTATAGTCCAGTGCTATGTATAAAAAACACAATATCAGTGATGATACCTTCTGTCTGCCTTCGCTTCTCATGACATATTCACATAAAATGAAACAAAGCAACAAACGTATATAGTTTTACTTCAATTGTAATTTATATTTATTCAACTTCATTTCTAATAAAAGAAGTACAGTTTTAAAATGTAAACAAATGCAACATGTTTCATCAATTTGATTCTCATCAGCTTACTATGAAGCATGTTCCCAGCCTTTATTATAAACAATGATAAAAAGATTACTACCCAACAATCAAACTGACACTGTGCCACTATAAGAAGCAAACGTTTGAAAGCTCCTAGTATAATCAAGTTTCAGAAGAATAAAATTGTAGATAGTATGTAATGGGACTTAAATTGTGTTTGTAGCTTTTAATTGGCAGAAGCTGGCAGTGAGCTTGATGGAACATTATTATTCATAGAAACCAGACAAGAGCAAATTCTAACACAGTATTTTTTTTTTTTATTACAAAAATAATGATACAAGAGAGAAGAATCAGAACAAAGGTAAAAGCAGAAGGCCATTGAAAGAGGACATAGAATTCTGGTTATACCCATAAAGAAGAGACAAGCATAGTACATATATTACCTCTGTTTATTCTAACAGCTACTCCGATTCTTCAGTCTTACACCAACAGTTTTTAACAACAGTAGAAAGATGTTTATTAAGCATCCATTATTAATTTTTTTACAGACCAAATTTCTCAAATATGTACACAAAACATGTCTTTAATGTTTATTAGCCATGCAGGAATGGCTTATATGTGGTCCAGCTCGCTGTGTGTCATGCATAAGAATTCATACCTCCAGGTACAATGAAAGTTCAAGCAGCTCAACAGTCCAAATTCAGTTATCTAAGTATTTTTTAACAATGATCATTGTCATATCAATAAAAATCCAACCATGGATTCAAAATGTGACAATATGTATTTCTCTGCAAGGTACAAAAACATGTGAAAGAAGTTAAGTGTAAGAAGCGGTTTAACATTATCTGAGTATCCTTCAAAAGTTACAACAAATACAGTAAAAGTACAGCTGTCCCACCATACACCATGTAGGCACTTGGGGGGAGAGGAGTTTATAGCTCCTGCTAATTCTTGACCTCAGCACTAGATGGTGAGTGGTCAGCATTACGCCCTGGCCACACTTTACCCCCAGGAAAGGACCCTGGTACCCATTGGATAAGAGGCTGGGTGGGCCCCAGAACAGGTCTGGACGCAGAGGCTAGCGGAAAAATCCTCTGCCCTCGTCAAGGATCAAACCCAAGTCGTCCAGTCCATAGCCAGTCACTATACTGACTGAGCTATGCCAGCTCATGCAATAAATACAGAAGTGTGCAAAATTATGAACCAGTTTTATTCACAAACAGATCTGAAGGTTCTGTACATTTCTACTGGATTAGGCCAAAGAACATAAAAAATAAACATTGTCTTTGAACACTCAGATATGTCTGCACATTAAAATGTTCAAATCTCATATGATAATACAATGTTCCCTCTCCCTATATATGTAGATTAACTTAACTACTAATTTAAACAGCACATAATTATTTAGCTGAGATGGGGCAAACATCTGATGAACAATTAGTAATCTTACATTAATCCAACTTAAAATGTTCTTTACATAGATATTATATTTAGAGCCCCCCCAAAAAACTTTTTATAATAAAAAAGTATCATCTCTCATTCAACAGAAAAATCTCATACAGTGCTCAATAGCGAGTGTACCTATAGACAGATTCACATTTTGAATATGGAAGTAACTGTAAAAAGTGAAATAATATCACTGCAATCTGAAACATCTGTTTTTGTTCAATGGTCAAGGACTGTAATACCATTACAAATTCTTGGTCATACTACATTACTGCTATCTTCCTTATAATACAGACATTAAAATTAACAGTGAAAACATTTACAAGTTGAAGTATTTTTTAGACAATAACACACATATCTGAACAATACATGGAAGCAATAATTACAAACACAGACTTTTCTGAACATTACATGCTCTGTAATTTCTATTTTATGAAATTCATCTTGACAGAATTTTGTAATTTTGTATTAACTCCTCGCTGTTAGTGAAAATAAAAGTCGGATGGCTATGTGTTAGCCAATAACCCATCCTACTGCCAGTGTTTAAAACACACCATATTTAATTTATACATATTTTAATAGAACATTCTTGCATTCAAAATTCAAATGTGTAAGACCATGACTGCCCTCTACAATGATAAACCCAAAACTATATCAATATATTGACTAACAGCCAATAAAAATCTATATTACAGTACATGATACTTTTTAGTGGAACTGTTAAATCTGTAATGTACAATGTACTGTTCTGCCCAGCATAAGATCTGTTGTTTATAAAAGTGAAGCGATTAATACACTTGACACATAAAAATAAAAACCTCATAAGAAGTATTTCAAGACAACTTTTTAATCTTCTTACTTGAAGAGAACAAGAATTATATAGCATCCACAATAACATTTATCACATTTGTAATATACCTTATAAATTATACTTACACAACTGCAATATCCTTCTCTGGTTATGGAATATGTTCACCTAAGAAACTGAAGGCGACAGGAAGAGCAATAAAGAGTAATAAAATTTTCCAAAAATTCATGCAGATATTATGATGATAAATCACAAATATGTGGTATGTGTACATTTTGTATTGCTATATAGCTTCTATTTGCAAATATTTGTGAATCTATCTACAGGAACCTCACACAGAATGTTTCTATTTCAGATACAGATAAATACTGATAGTGCAATACTGTGAAAAAACAGACAATATCAAATCCCAACACAAAACATCTTACAGGAAATCTGTTAAGTCTTAAGATGATTTAAAACTGAAGCAGAATGTAAGTTTGAAGCTCTGGTGATGTTACATTTCTTCTTTGTCCACTAAATCAGATAGAGTATATTACTCCAACAAATGCTTTTCTGTTATTATTTATAATACTGTTCTAGCACAGAATATAGCAGTTCTGTACTCCGCATGTGGCCTGTCACCTTGTTATTTACAAACTGATTATTCACACATACTTCTCTATTAGTAACTTATATGAACACCCATCCAAATGTATTCTTGTCACTCTGTGCTAATAAATTATATCATTTAACTAAATTTATTTTCATTTCAATCATATCTTCATTAAGAATGATAAGAAATAAAGAATTTAAAACCTGATTGCGCATTAATCTTTATCATACAACAATAAGTAATATGAAGCCCCTGGATCAACAATTTTAATTATTTGCTACTGTGATGAACAGGTTGCTGGATTATGCGTAAACCGTGTCACGGTAATAAAAGTTAAATATAAAATATTCTTTTTTGTGATTCTATTAGTAAACATCAGGAACACCACTAGTAAGTCAACTATACATAAACACTTTATCAAACATATTGTGTGTCGAGGAAGGATTTGAAATTTTACATACAAATGAACTGTACCTTCAAAAACCATTTCTTGTATATAAGTAAAAAAGAATACTAAAACATATTCTGAAAACAATCTAGAAGGGTGCAAATGCAAATTATCAAAGAAACTAAATGTTAAAATGATACAGAACTAAATAAAAAGTTGTCAGTGGAACCACGGTTCCGGAGAATTTGACGTAAATACATCTATACGGAAAGGAAGTTTATATATTGGCTTTATTCTAAATTTTTCCTTTATACATCCTTTACAATTGAGATAATTTTGATTAAGACATTGCTTATTTAACTTGAATTAGTTACGCTTAAGATGGGTCTGTGGTAGCTGAATGTAATGTAAGGTAAGGTAATGTAATGTAATGAAATGTTTTATAGGTAACAACAATGCTGAGTAAACAGATGACGTTTCCTAGGTAACAAAATTGCCGAGTAAATAGATGTTCCTTAGTAGGTAACAACAATGCTAAGTAAACAGATGACGTTTCCTAGGCAACAATAATGCCGAGTAAACAGTTGACGATTGCTAGGTAACAATAATGCCGAGTAAACAATTGACGTTTCCAAGGTAACATAACAATGCAGTTACACTTTTTCGTTTCACTTTTTGCCGAATGACACTGACCTGAAAATATAGACGTATTTACGTCAAAGAAAAGTTGTCACCAAGAAAGAAAACACATGAATAGAATTCACTCCAAAGTCATGTACTTTTTAAGTGTATGAAGAAAATATCTTTATGCTGAAACAGGCAACCTGGTCAAATAATGATAGTACAGCAGTTTAGTTGAATACTGCTTGTCTGTTCTATTTAGAGGTACTTTAGTTGCAGATCATTATGATGCTTTGATGACACATTAAAGATCATAGCTTCCAAGCCCTTTTGCAAGGAAACTTCTTTGCTCCAAAGAGGTACCTTACTGGAATATTAAATGTCCACACATATTAAAAAAATGACCATTTTGTTTCATATATGCAAAATTCCTAATAACTTGTTAGTAAATCTAATCTATGCACAATTTACATTCTTTTGTATAAGGTTTAAACCTTTCACAGTGAATGAATGCAATCAAATCCTCTCTGAATATCAGCCATGTAAAAATAGAGTATCCAACATTTTGGAAACAAACGATGGCAGTCAGGTTATCAGTCATCACAGCCCATGATGCTTAACCTGGACAATCCAGGGTGCTATCATTGATCCTTCCATTGTATTTTGACTACCCCATTTTGATGAAGCAGCTGGGTTCCAGGATCAACTTAGACTAAATTTCATATTTCTATTAAAGTTATCAAAACAGAGCCAGATTCTGATGGCCTCTTTCATAAAGCATTTGATCACTGACTTGTATGGAACTAATGCCAGTTTGTAAAGAACATGCATGGAACATATTCGAGCCAGACATGTCAGTAGTAGATAATCCCGGCCTGACTGCCTTCCTACTTGGTTTGCTCTCAGACAAGGAAACTCAGCTCCATGAACTTCTTCTTCTTCTTAAGGTGCTGTCTCCGAACAGAGGTTAACTATCATCAAGGCAATTCGTATTTCACTGAGTTACGATTTCTTGCCGTAATGATTTTGACTAGGGATAATAATGAGGTAGTTTCCTGTGGCTTTCCTCATCACAGTATCATAGCCAGTTAAATCAAGATGTGATTACCATCTGTGAGTATCTGGAGTCGAGCCTTTAGGGAAATCATTCTTCAATACCCTCGGCCCAGTAATACATAGCTGCTGCCCTATGTTATCTACCGTAAACCTGGTAGAGGGACCTTTACAGGTTGCTCCCCCCCCCACCCCCCCGAGGCAAGGGGAAGCCGGAGTTCGCGTGGGCAGGGGCACTCACTTCCCTGAAGTAGGACAGTCTCCGAGGAGAGTTCCTACCCGCTACCTCACTCCATGAACTGTTGTGTATATAAATACAATGGGCAGTTGCAGCACTCATTACATTAGTCAGTGATGACTGAGGCAGAGACTGTCTCCATAACATTGCATACTAATCCCATTCTTATAAGGATCACTGCATGAGAAAACTTCTTTGCACAGTTTAATAATGACAAAATGCTATATGAACCTATTTTTATAACCATAAATTCCAAAATATGAAATCAGTCAGCAAGTAACTTACTGCCATGTGTGGGATATTATACAACCAATAACAACAAATCAGCCCACCAACCACAACAATCCTTGAACAAAGGTACATCATCATAAAAGGTGAGAGAATATTTATAATGGAAATCAGAAGCAATGCGAGTCACTCAGAGCAGCAAACCCTTTGCCACATTCAATGTAAGAAATACAACACATAAATTAAGCCAAAACACATACTAGGGCATACATATTACACCACTTCATTTTACCTGATGTTATATATGTATGTGAAACCTGGGCTCCTACATTAAGGGAAGAACACAGATTGAAGGTGTTTGTGAACAGGGTGCTGAGAATATTTGGGAGCCTATAAACAAACAAAAACATATGTTAAAATTTTCAATCATGTTATAAGTTAAAGTGAAGTATAAGAGCACCTTAAATGATACAGCAGAGGAAGTCTAAAGCCTGACTTAGAATTTCTGATCAATTTGTTCATTTAAGTGGGCACTTTAAGTGCTCTAATTACTGTCTTGTCTCATTCTGATATCAGGTTTCATATTAATACTAAATAACCCCCCCCCCCACACACACACACACACACATATGGATAGTTAAATAAATTCATATAAGTTTAGGAGTGAAGGATGTTTGAGAGCCAGAAGCAAACTTTTTCAAAAATAAAGTAAATTAAATAGAGCTGTACATTTTTTAATGTGATCTGAAGACCTACTCAAAAGATCAGTTTCAGACTACAGAGGATATTACTGACAGGTGGGCAGGCAGATCGGCATTTGCAGGAACACTTGTATGTAGTTACATATGAGTAACGTAATCTGAACAAAACTAAACAGATTCAAATAAAACTGATGACAGTTTGGTTTACACCCAACATTCTCTTTTACTTATGAGCTTCTTTGTTAAACATGCAGTGACTCCAAGTTTGCAACAGAGGTGAAGACAATAATGATCACAATGATTAATTCAAATCTGCACTGGACAGCTGGATAACAGACAATCCTGAATGTTAATTCAGATTATGGAATAATTATGTATGTGGATGGGTTAAATTTCGGAGAAAATTCAAGATACAAAATGGAAACAATGCAAATCAAATTTCTGGAAAGCAACTGCTTAAATTAAAAAGTATACTGAAACTCTGCTATTTAATGAGCGTATGTTTGAACCAATACAATAATACACACATAATAATACCACATGAACTATATAAGCTGATGTGTTATTTCACAAAAAAGAATTACTTTATCATTTGTAATACCATCACCAGTGACACATGTCCTAAGCAACCCATACTGTTACTGTCTCTGATTATGTCTAACTTATAAATACAGAAAAAATTGTGCTATTTCAATCTGTCACAATTATTTTTTCTACCAAGGCAGCCAAAATTTATTTTTGGAAAACATTTACTTTTAAAGAAACAACCATTTGATCTTGAATAAATTCTTATGGTAATCACATCAATTACTGCAACAGCATAGTGGAATGTGAGAAATAAGCATGCAAAGATTGTAACAACATACTCTACTAGCCTCTCCATTTTATGTATGCTCTTTTATTTCCACAAATATTACATAAAAATAACATTTTATGGGTGAGGATGAAATATGTACCAAGCAGAACTTAACATGTACCATGAGATTGCTTCCCATCATGTATCTAACAGAGCTGTCCACCTGGTGAAGAAAGAACAATAATTTAATTTCCTAATGTTCTTTTACCTCTATGCCACCTTTGTTGCTGTTGGGGTAGTAGAACTGGGTGATGGCGCATCTTCAAACTGGGCTGTGGTTGGTGGTGGTGAAGCAGCAAGGGGTGGGATGGAGTGCCTCTCTCCTGTATCCCCTGACTCACCAAGGGACGTCCCTTCTCGACTAGTCCTACCACGTCCCCGTGGGAAACGATCTGGTGGTGGCACTATGGGAATAGCACTTCTCTGCCGTTTCTGCGTAATTGGACGAGGAACTATATTCTGCTCTTCCGTATTGTAGTATGTAATACCTCCTTGTGGCTGATATAACTCAGCTGGAGGTGGTCCTGGAGTTGGCTAGACAGAATAAGTGGAATTAAAACAAAGTACATGTTCCAACTGCCTACAACATGGAAGGTATGACATGAAATTCTTATTTATTATCAAACCAGTAAAGAAGCCAGACTACAGAACAGCAGTTCCCATCTCCCACAGGCTCCTTAAATTGAGAACTTCCCATTTCAAAAGAAAGGCACTAACAAAACTTTCTGAATTGAAAATGTAAATATTTAACTAATTTGATCGAAACAGGCTCATTGATTGTTCAGCTTGTCAAGAAATTCCATGATTTTGATGAACACCAAGGTTCATTACTGTGTTCACCAGTCCCTATCCACAGCCAGATGAATCCAATCCACACCCTCCAATCCTGTTTCTTTAAGATTCATTATAAATTCTGCTCAGATTTCTTCTTTGAGGCTTGCAAGTAATGGTAAATGCGTCATGATATATCGATAAACGTAATCTAGTGAAAGGTTGCTTATGCATCAAAATTGTTCATAATAATGTTACAAAGACAAGCATCTGTGTTCTACAGCAGGAGACAGAAACAGAATGAACTAACTTTCACTCATGTTCATACGGCCGAGAAAAATGTTTTTACAACCTAGCATATGTCTGCCCCAGTGCAGATTTCAAGCACTACTTTTTCACCCTTAATCTAAAGCTTAAAAAAGTATCAACAAAAGATAAAACTGGGAATTATTTAATAAATCCAATAATAATTATACAATGCAGAAAACTGAGGGAAGTTTTCAAAAATAAAATAGTAATCTGACAAAATTCACATCCTGAAAATCTGACTTATAAAAAAAAAAGTTCCATTTTAGGCAGGGAAAATGTTAGTTATGTGGTACACTCACTGAAAATGAACACTTCCAACAGACATTCCCTTTTTTACATTAGGTGTTTCACAAATTGGCATATTCCACAAGAATATTGGTACTGATCATCTTAAGCAAAATCAAAATAACAGTAATAACAAATCTACTAGGAATGAATACTCAAGATGTTTAAAAATGTGTAATTTTTATTAAACTAAAAGTGCTCCATTTCTTATAATACATGCAGCTTACCACAGCTGTATATCCCTGAAATGCTGTGTACGTTGGCGGGGGACCTACGTAATTCATAATAGGTGTACCTGGTGTAGGAGCAGGGATGAATGTAGGAGGAGCACCAGCCCCAGGGGGCAATATGCGAGGGGGTGGAGGACCTACAAAAGTTGTTGTAGGTGATGGAAATGGGGCAGCATAAGCTGGGGCAGGGGGGTGAGCATGAGGGGGCAACAGCTGAAGTGGTGGTGTCCCTGCCGACTGTGGATGCTGCGGGGAATCACCATAAACTGGCTGCTGTGTCATGTAACCTGCTGGAAAACAAAGCAAAACAAACGTACGTTATTAAAAATGTTCCTTCTGCAACATCCAATGAGTGTTGTCTATCATACTTATTTACTTGTACAAAAACAAAAGTCACACAATAGCCAATAAGAAGCATAAAAACATTCTTGCAATGATAACATCAATTCATATAGTTAAATATCATTTCTCACTTCATACATACATAAAGATTATATATTTTTTAATCAAGCTATGAGAACACACTCTTTAATTCCAGGACCCTACTGTAACATCGCAGTTGCTCCACACAGCTCACATGGTGGCCATGATTGTATTACTGACGATAAAATTGAAACATCTAAAGGTTGTGTGACCTCAAGCTGTCCGAAAATCCAACAACTGGTTCAGAAGTTGCAGACACACAGACACCATATAATCTAAATCAAAGTCATTACACACTCTTGACACAGTATAAAACTTGATCAACCTTTGAACCTCCTGGTAAGGTATGTTTTTCCTTCTCTTCATATGATGCTGGTAATTTTGCAATAACAAAAAGTTAAGGACAGATACATTTATTACTCGTTCAGATAAAATTAAGTGCCATTCTCTGGCACACAATTTTCTCACGTTTTTGTAACAATTCAAATTTGCATGTTACATCTGCCCAGTGAGAAAAGATTCATTAGCATTTGTTTTGAATTTCAGACATGACATATGCACTAAAACTAATATAAACATTTTAATGTGATCAAACAATTCAGGGAGTCGGAATTACTAAATTCTTGGACTTCATCCATCGTCTGGTATTAAAACAAACACAATGTTTCGGAAACCGGATCTGTTTTTGTCCTCATGTGAGAAGAAAAAAGTAGTTATGATCTGACAGTTTCTTTGAGGGTAGTTTCATAATTTTTGTTTGAGGGCTCAACTGTTGATCCATAAATGAATTCTACATCAAAGTTTCTGGATTGGGTCTTTTTGGTTTGATGTATTTATTTTTTAACTTTCTTTCCTATCTTAATTTTAGGTCTTATAAATTTCCACAATTTCTACTGTAATTTTTTCTGTTCTCCTGTTGACTAAACCTGATCTCAGGTACTTATATAGATGCAATCATATTGACTTTGGTTGCCCAGTGACTGAGGTTAGCACTTTCTAACAGACCCAACTGAGTAGGTGCCCCTTCCACTTTTTACCTGAAGATGGAAACAGATCATTTTCCAAATGTTGTGTTCTTGTGATTACCAGCTGATGGACAAAGTCCAAGAATTTAGTAATTGCATATGTAACACACCATAATCAGAACCCTTTAGAATGCCACAGAGTATATTATAAGTTAGTTACTAAAGCTGATATAACACACGGTTCTTCCAAATTCGAGAAACCTGATTTGTTAGTTTCTAACTCACCAGCAGGCTGAAAATAGGTTGAGGCATGGTCCGGCTGTGTGTAGACTGCTCCTGAACATGGTCGTATCGTTGAGTAGCGCTTAGGATGGTTTGTAGCACAGTCGCTACTCTCTAACTCACCAGCAGGTTGGTAGTAAGCAGTAGTGGGAGGTGGCTGGGTATACGTTGCTCCAGATTCAGGCAGCGACCGTTGGCGTAATGATGAGTAGCGTTTGGGACGGTTGCTACCACTGTTATCTTGTTGATGCTGCTGATGTTGCAATCTAGGTGGCACCACAATCTGCTGCCTCCGCTCTGCACCTGGAACTCCACCCTGTGACTGCTGGAGCTGCTGCTGATTTTGGTGGTGGTACTGTGGTTGTGCATTACCAATTTCTGTGCAACATAAATATATGAAAGTCCACTATAATGAGAGTCCATAGCAACCATAAAGGGTTTTAAAAATGGTGTGTTACATTCAATATTGATGTTTCCTTTTTAAAAAAATTAAATCCATCATTCAATATACTAAAATAGAGCCACAACAGGGGCAGAGCAAGCCCCTTAATCAATATTGTTTAATTTTAGTGTGCCAAACAATGGATTTGGCGGGAGGGATCATAATACCTAAAAATTTCCAATATAAAAAATATTCATTACAACTGATCACAAGACTTGATGTACAATAATCTGTCCAGTATCAAAAGCATTTGTTAACACGTATTTTACAGCAAGTAAATAATCAGATGCAAGCAAATTATAAATGTCATGCAGACTGTCCAAAAAATACCTTTTTACTTCCTTAACCATCAAACATAATTCAAGGAACAAAAAATAAAACAAAGATACACATTTAGAATTTTCATTCATGAGGTTTCACATGTACAGCTTTTGTAACGCTGCAAATATTATGGTGATATATTTTCACCTGAACATGTTCAAGCACTTCTGACTGAATGTTACAGCTGAATGGTTGAAACTCCTGTTCCACATTTGGGAGGTCCTTGGTTCAAATCTTGGACTGAAGTATGGCTATTCTGAAGTTTTTCAGTGTTTCTCAAACCCTCCAGGCAAATCATAGGACAGTACCTTAAAATCAGCCATGACCGTTTCCTTCTGCATCCCTTCCAATGCATTATTCATTAATCAACCTATCATTCGACACTGTATAATCTGAGTTACTAACAGAATTGCTAAATAAACACATATGGTCTTAGAAGCTGCCATGGTCTTGTGTTTTAATGTTTCAAGTCTACATGCCTCAAGGTTCCATATACAACCACTTTTAGATATCCAAAGCAAACAAAGTCAGATGTTAAAGAATGCAACCAAACACATCTGTGACATAAAGTAGGATAAAAAGAAAAAATCTTTGGCCAAATCAATCACTAAATTCTTCACCACAAGTGCACGAGTGAACAGCACTTTACACCTAAAGAAATTTTTGGCCACTTTTCACATCACTCAGCTGGATCAATCCTTGTATTCCTGTAATCTGACTCCTAATTTTATAAGTTACACGCATTTGAGATTTAATTGTTCTAAACACATGACTTCCATTTTTACAACCAATAAACAATGCAAAAAAAAAGTGACAGTGGAACCACGGTTCCGGAGAATTTGACATTTCCTAGGTAACAATAATGCCGAGTATATAGATGACGTTTCCTAGGTAACAATAATGCCGAGTATATAGATGACGTTTCCTAGGTAACAATAATGCCGAGTATATAGATGACGTTTCCTAGGTAACAATAATGCCGAGTATATAGATGACGTTTCCTAGGTAACAATAATGCCGAGTATATAGATGACGTTTCCTAGGTAACAATAATGCCGAGTATATAGATGACGTTTCCTAGGTAACAATAATGCCGAGTATATAGATGACGTTTCCTAGGTAACAATAATGCCGAGTATATAGATGACGTTTCCTAGGTAACAATAATGCCGAGTATATAGATGACGTTTCCTAGGTAACAATAATGCCGAGTATATAGATGACGTTTCCTAGGTAACAATAATGCCGAGTATATAGATGACGTTTCCTAGGTAACAATAATGCCGAGTATATAGATGACGTTTCCTAGGTAACAATAATGCCGAGTATATAGATGACGTTTCCTAGGTAACAATAATGCCGAGTATATAGATGACGTTTCCTAGGTAACAATAATGCCGAGTATATAGATGACGTTTCCTAGGTAACAATAATGCCGAGTATATAGATGACGTTTCCTAGGTAACAATAATGCCGAGTATATAGATGACGTTTCCTAGGTAACAATAATGCCGAGTATATAGATGACGTTTCCTAGGTAACAATAATGCCGATTAAAGGCGATGTTCCCTAGGTAACCATTGTTATCGGATCTTACACAGTTTCCTGTCACTTACTCGTTATACTTTTTTGCGGAATGACCCTTCCGTATAGACGTATTTACGTGAAAAATAAAAAAGTGACAGTGAAATCACAGTTCCGGAGAATTTGACATTTCCTAGGTAACAATAATGCCGAGTAAACAGATGATGTTTCGTAGGTAACAATAATGCCGAGTATATAGATGACGTTTCCTAGGTAACAATAATACCGAGTAAACAGATGACATTTCCTAGGTAACAATAATGCCGATTAAAGGCGATGTTCCCTAGGTAACCATTGTTATCGGATCTTACACAGTTTCCTGTCACTTACTCGTTACACTTTTTTGCGGAATGACCCTTCCGTATAGACGTTTTACGTCAAAAGACCAATGAAAAACACAAACTGCAAACATCGTTACAACCCTACAGTGTAATCAACAGTAAGTCACAGCAAAGTTTTTCACAACCATTCACTTTCCCACAGTCAGTCTCTCCTTTGGGCCTTATCTACTACAGTACTCAAATGTCCATATCCATGTAATCTGCAAGACTGACAAATGTATTTTCATAATTTCACATCAGTAAATTTTTGTTTCAGTATAAATACTCCTTGGATCTGTTTAAGTTTGTAATAAAACCAAACAGTACCACCAACAATAATAAATTTAAAACAGTACCAGACTTACACATACATTATACTTACTGCTGTTACGCTGATTGTATTCTCTATGTACCTCATCTTGAGGTTTACTTGCCCCCTGGAACGAAGATGAAGGAGCATCAGAATTTTTATGGTGATGCTGCTGATTTGGTGGGGGAGCAGATTCATTCCCACTATCATGATGCTGCAGTCGCATGGAGTCTGGAGGTAATCTTGTTTCAGATGAACTTCTAGCGCTACCTCGGCCTTTCATTACACTCCCAGGAACAATATCCATCCCACTGCTTCTGCCTCTACTTCTACCACGACCACGTCCCCGACCTCCTTTCAGTCCAGCATCTGTAAAGGGGCCATCGCGAGTATCCCGATGAACTCGTCCGCCTGCTGATGAGTTTGAGATACCACCAGTCTCTTCCACACTGTTTGAATTATTACTATTTGTGCTGATTTGAGCCCTACAACACAATAAATGTTATAACTGAGGGGCAGTTTACAGTACTGAAACAACAATGTTGTAGTTTAAATGAATTATCAGTACACAATTAAATCTACATTACAAACCAGAAAATCAGTACTTCCTGTGTGATCACAGGCAAACATATAGATCATTAATAAGCATAACAGTACATGCTTATTTATTTATTTAGTGTTCTGTCTGACGACAGGTCCATATGAACAGGATCCTTCCATCCTTTTCTCGGACTGGGACCTGTTCATATACGTTCTTGGCAGATGATCCAGAAGTGGTTTGCCATTGCCTTCTTCTGTGTGTGAATGGAGTTATAGTTGGGATGCCACGGAGAAACCGGGGAAGCCCCCGGAGGAAAACTCCATGTAGTACATGCTTAGACTACTTATTTTAAGCAATATGTAAACCTGGTGTGAAATTTGGCTTTTCATCCCATGGGAAATGCATAAAGTAATGTTATTTCAGAATACAGTGGTGAGGAGAATACAGTGTCTTTACATTTTTCTGGGGTGTGATGAAACACAGTGTAAAGAAGATTTCTGTCTTCTGGATTGTTGCACTGTATAGTATGGTCGATGTTAACCAACGATGAATCACCCTGATGACGGAGGCAGTATGACCTCTGAAACGTTGGTTAACATCGACCAGACTGCACAGCGCAACAACCCAGAAGACAGAAATCTTCATACTCACCGCTGTGAAAACCTCAAATTATACAAACACAATGTAAATTGTTGAAATCATAAATTGCAGAACTGCAGAAAGCATAGTACTCGCCTTCACCCTTAATTGGAATGCTTAGCAAATTATGAATGTAAATTTCTAAGCAATGTATAAACATTTGTACAACTTATAATTATCAAAAATTAAAAATATACTGTATCATGATTCAAGTTATGTCTTGTATCAAACATATCTTTCCTTCTGTGTTGCCATCATGCCTTATCAAACTCACAAATGTGAACAAACAACTGCAGTGCATGTAGCAGGCACAGCTAAAATAATAAGAATAACAATAATGGCTACCTTGAAACAACCACATATTATAAACTAAAAGGTAATTTCAAGATGGTGCCTTACTCATCATACTAAGTAGCCAACAGATGAAAGAAGTTGATCAGTCACAGAAAAATGGTGAAAAACCCGGGAAATTCAAACAAAATGACATATTTTCAGATGGAACTAAAGTAATTCAAATGGTAGTAAAATCAATGGGACTAGAAATTATGAAAAATAGGGAAAATGTATATATTGGAAAGGAAAATATAAGGTTTAACTGTACTTGGAACCAAGAGGGAAGAAGTATCTGGAGGCTGGAGTTTCATGGAATGTACTCTATACCAAATATCGGGAGGTTAAAATCAAGGAGGATGAGATGGGTGGGGCACAAAGAACATGTGGGAGATGACACACAATTTTGGGTGCATAACCTGAACAGTGGAAATTACTTGGGAGACTGAGGCATTGATTAGAAAATCTGAAGAAGAAAAAATATATAAGGGTGTACACTGGATTCAACTGGCTCAGAGTAGGATTCAGTAGGCTTTTATGAACACAATAATGTATCTTCAGATCTGATGAAAGGTGGAGAATTTTATGATCAGCTGAGTGACTATCAGCTTTCCAAGGTCTGTGCTCCATAATGTTACATAGTTCTAGTGAACATTCAATCAAACTACCACTAATTTAAAATCTAAACATTCTTTTGGAATAATTATTTCACTGATTCTTCTGCTACTCAGCCACTCATCCCAGTGTCTATTAATCAATAAAATAAAACACTGTTAACTAATAATTATATTCATGTAGAGAGTGGATCAATAAATTCTACAAAAATGTTCAAGTGGTTTCAGTCTTTAATGTAGGATTAATTACAGTCAAATTCATCTTTTATTTCAGACTTGGTAACTACTTGTAATGGAATTGCAAGATAGTCTGACATCACTTCCTACAAATTTGGACTATTAATATCTTCATTATCCTTACTTTTAACAATATCAATACCTGCTCAGTGACTCCTGATTTCCTGAATGCAGGATATGATGAGACTCAAATTCCAGTGGAGGGAAGGCATCCTGATGAGATTTTGTATTACTACTTCCTTCTTCCTTGTTGTTTTTTCTACCACTCATAGTCCGATTACTGTAAGTTGAACCATGTACAGTTGGATTTTGATCTACAGAATTGCTAGTATTCTCAGAGTTATCTTGTTTGTTATTTGTAAGCGGTGGAAATTCTTCTTGACGTTCTGAATCAGAATTTTGAGTTTGATTGGTCCCTCTCTGTCGTCCACCTTGTCGTCCTCCTCTTGCAGATGTGACAGACACCTGGGGTTTATTGTATGCATCTTCATCTTCCCAATTTCTTGTGTACTTATTCGGACCTCGCCTAAAAAGTTACCAATAGTAAAGTCAATGAACCATGAACAACCTATTATATTATGAAATTAAAAAAATTAAGACTCTATATAAATTCACTTGGCAAATAATGTATGTAAATAAATGAGATAAAAATGGTAATAAAATTAATTTTGTCCCGCGCCGTAGCAGCATGGTCTGAGGCATCATGCTTTGGACCGGTGATACGGAATGCGCGCTGGTTCGAGTCTCAGGGAAAGAAATTTCTCATAAGATTTTTCGACCGGTGTATGGGACCGGTGCCAACCCAGCATCGTGAAGAAATTCAGGAGCTACAATGAGTAGGGTAATCCGGTCAGGAAAGCTAGCAATGGCTGGGAGTTCATCATGCTGACTACACGTCACTCTGTATCTGGTTGAATGATCGTTCACCTCTGCTTAGGCATGTGAACGTGAGGCCAGCAGCCAGCTAGTCGTCTTTGGCTCTCAGAGGGCTGTTACGCCACGGATTATTATTATTAATAAAATTCATTTTGGCACACACAAACCAAGGTTACAGAAGTATGCTGTGTGGTACTCACCCCCAAAATTTGTACAGACTTTTCATATGTATATAAAGGGGACTTTCTGCATTTACTTTATGGATAAGAAAATTAGTAACAGCTGTAATGACAAGTGGCCACAAAGAAGATTCAAACACATGATCTCCCAATTAAACAACAAACATATTATACTATAAATTTAACCCTTGGTAATTATTTCAACTGCACTTATTACTTACATAAAGCTTCCCCATTTATGGCCTTCATAATTACTTAAGTTGCACCCACTACTTACACAAACCTCCTCAGATTCTACCAAGTCAACTATGAATCACATAAAGAAGTTACCCGTATCTCCTCCTCCTCCGAGCACGCGGAGGGCCCTCTTCATTACGGATGTCATAGCCATATATTTCAATCAATTCTTCACGTGATTTAGGTGCCTGTTCATCCTCATTATAGCGATCGTGACTCCATCGATTTTCATGTTCACGCCATACTTTCTTTGCTTTAGAATCGCTACTTCCTTGACCTTCTTTAGATACACGGTCTGCTGGTTCCTTCTCATTTGTTTCACCAGTACTCCTGCCAACAATTAAAATGTTATATTTGAAACACATATCTATATTAAAAATTGCCAATATGTAACATAGGTGGCATGATGAAATCAAAAGATTCACAATTCAATTTACATACCTTCACCTTTCACAGCTGAAGTAAACTATGGGGACGCACAACAAAAATCAATTTTGAGCTGTGGTAACAATTAAAAATTCCATGTTACTTTCTGTGCTTTAACAGGGAAGATGACAATAATACATATATTTATAAATTTGAATACCAATGTTATTCCATGAAAGTAGCTAATAAATCCTTAAAACATGTACAAAAGTTTAAACAATTGGGAATGATGGTAAAAAATCAAAACTGAATTTATATAGAAATTAAGAGCAGATTAAATGTGAGTAATGCCTGCTGCTATGCAGTTCAGAATACGTCACCTACCTGCATGTTCTCTACAAATGTAAATATTAAAATATATATAATTGTAATAATGCATTTGTTTTGTATGGGTGTGAAACTTTGTCCCTCACATTGAGAACAAACAATATTTTGAATATCAAAGCCACAAAAGTACAAAGAGACTTTTATATAGCAACTCACACATCCTCGGTAGCTGTTCTATCATCATGCTCGTAGAATGTGCCACGTTTAGGGATATACTGTGGGTTTCTCCGATCTTCATCATCATCCAACTTCTTTTCTTTTGCAGGTATGCTTTCCTGGAATATAAACAGAGTTCAGAAAAATATGCTATGCTTGAAAACATACCAATAATAATAATAAACTCACCAAGTAATTTTCATTAAAAAGTCATTTAATATTAGATTGGTATGAAAAAGAAATTATTCTGAGACATGCATGGAAGTATAACACAAAATATGTCTCCACATGATTGTGATGTAGTAAATAAATTCCCCAGTAAACAAATTCTGTCTTTTGTTGTTGTTGTTGTTGTTGTTATTATTATTATTATTATTATTATTATTATCATCATCATCATCATAACAGTAATAATGATAATCATTATTACTATATTAATACCCCAAAAGGCAACCTAACATCAGAGTAATGATAAAATTGTCCTTGTGCCAAAGCACAAAGATATTAAGGTGAAAACAGGGTATGGAGATAAAAGCCCCATGCATTTTAGACCTTACCACTACACTGATGGTAAGCAGTCTGCTAACATTCTGGATACCTTAGCCCCAAAGTGAGAGGCCCAATAATCACAATAACATAACATAATTGGTCTCGGAATATATAACATTTGTATGGTGGAAATATTTTAGAGTAAATAATTTACTAAAATATTATCAATGAATAATATACAATTTCTGTTTTGGAAAGTCCATCCTTTACTTAATTTTTGTTACTTGCAATTCATTCCTGATAGTTCATGTTACTGAATTTACAAGAGCATATGTAATTTATGCCAGAGTGGAACATACCTACTCATCTTGTAAACAACAGTCATAAAAATATTCTAGAAGAATAATTCCATTATTTCTGATAAACCACCAAACTGTAATGTTGACTTTAATATAATCACTGCCATAGTCTTAAACACTTTTATGGTCTCAAAAGTGCAGATGCCTTGGAGAACTTATTCAAGACTGGTTTCATAATTTTCTACAGTACTTATGTTTTCAGAACTGTTCTTAATGATTAAAGAAACTACAATTTCTCTGTAAACTCACAAAAAAGGACAAGATAACAAACCACAATGTATGTCCCACAGTAGTTATCAGACTCTAGTTGTGGAAGACATCAAGCCACCTCTTAAAGCTCTAATTTAACTTTACAGATAGAAATACCTGACCGTCTCCTTCTTCTCTTTCATACTCTATAATAACACTGTCGTCGTCGTCTTCTTCCTCATCAACAGCAGTTGAATCATCAGATTCTGTATCATCCTCCACAGCTTCATACTCGGACTCCCGTGTACCTTCGGTACTGGCATTCAGATCACCTTCCTAGCAATACAAATTATAATTAAAATCTCAATATTTAAACACTATCTGTACAGTAATCAAACACACAAAAATTTAAATCGGTGATCTCCCGGGCATACGATTTGAACTTTCGACCTTTTTCACATGTGGATCTACATTCAATACAAGGCCTTCTGTACAGCCGTTACATAAATCATTAATACAAGAATATAAACTGTGAATATATTACAGTTTTTAGAGGCAGAATAGATAAGCTGGCTACAACTCTTGCATTCTGTATTATTCTGAAATACTGATTCCGTGTTTCTTGGTGGGCAGAGGAACATGGACGAAATATTCACGAAGAATCCTTTAGCAATTTCATTGTCCTCGTACGAGTCTTCTGACAATTTTTCCGAATCTCCGCAATCCCTTACTTTCCGTCTCCTACCTTTATCCGACATTTTGATTTTAATTATGAGGCATGACCTACGAGTACTAATATTTGCACTGAGAAGTGAACAATTTCCCGCTACACTCACATTTACAACACAACAGGGAGAAATTTCCTTGACATATTTTGTATTCGCTGCTTAGAAGGCCATGCGTCCTAGCTGCGGTTAAACATTTTAAAAGATCTCCAACAGATGTCGTAAACCTTCACACAAATGAACAAACGGCACTTTTATTCTAATTCTGAAAATCGATCTTGCTGCTGTTAGTCGATAGCGATATGCGATATGTCGATTACGTGTTAAATCACTGACTCAGACAAACGTCACTGTTTGACGTCACATCGAATATAATTAAGTAAAGAAAATACTGCGAACTTCCAACTTTGCCAGAACCAATCTCAGTTTTCGAACCCTCTTTTCTGCATTACATTTAATCTTTCAAAGAACAAGAAAGAAAAATTGTACCAACATATTTCCTTTGGGCGGAGTCGTCTAGGGATATGGAGTGCAGAATGATACCACGAAAATCTCTCTTTGCGCACCATACCACAACTTGCTTCTGCGCATGTACCTACGTGAAGGAGCACGAGATTTCCTCCTTTGCCTCTTGCGTCAGCTTGTCATTCGACGCAGAAACGTCGAGGTGAAGTGTTGTGTTGAGGAATTTAGCAGGAATTATATAACCAGGACCACTGTTCAAAGTGCGTGTTAGTTTCTCTGTAAAAGTGGGCGTAACAGCTTGTACAAAACAATTGGGAAACAGTTGCTAGGCATCATTTTCTATCTGAACCTTCCAAATAAAGTGAAGTTTCAAGTGAAGTGTCTTGTTTTTGCGTAGTTTGTGTTGCCGAGGGCGTCACGACGGCTTCTCTACCAGTGTGTTGTTGGGACGAGGACGTTAGTTACTACAGTGATACGGACAGTGAAGCTTCTTCAAATTATTGCGTGGCAGGGTTGTCATCGCAACAAGCATGTTATGTTGGTTACAGAACAATGGATTCACCGCAGATGTATGACAACAATACACATCCTTCAGCTATCAATCCCTCGGACGCTCACGCCATAAATTCCAATAAGAAATCGGTGGTGAATACAAATAACAACAACATTTCAACAATCAACAATAATACCAGTAAATCTGCCACTAGCTTGCTGGCTAAGCAGCATCATCATTTCCATCACACAGATCATCAGAGCGAACTGGCAGACTTAAATACCCCAGAAATTTCCCTTGACCTCCAGAATTTGATTGACGACAGTCAGTTCAACGAAGGTCTGTTCACAGATATCCTGAATCCTGGTAAAACAAATCCTCACCATCCAAGTTCCATAGCACATCATCAGTCTGTCAGAGGGCACAATACCTTGATTCAAGGCAGTTACCCACGCACCACCCTTGCGTACATGCCCCAACCCGTTCATTCAGGCGCAGCAAATTACAACACAGCTAACACAACCAATAACAACTCTAACGCCTCCAGTTCCTCAGAAAATTCCTCAGCATCCTCAGTGAGCGTTCCAAGCATCAAAGAGGAGCCAGTTGATCCAGCGGACTTCAGAAACGCTTGTCAGCAGCAGAATATCACCTCCGGCACCACGGCGGCCGTTCCCGTCCCATATTCGTCTTCATATTCGCCGCCTTCGGGCGCCGGAAGTAATTTCGTCAGTAACGGCGCCGGGTCAACGTTCACCACGTTGACACCTTCAACCGTACCTGGCGCTGCCTCAAATGTCCATCACCAACATTCGTCTCTGATTGGATTAGGGAAAAATATTGCCCTCTCTAAACCCAATCCACACCACCACCATCATAGCAACAGCAGAAAGAGTGGCAAATCAGTGGATAAGGCAAGCGACGAATATCGGAGACGTCGTGAAAGAAATAACATCGCTGTGCGAAAGTCGCGAGAAAAGGCGAAGCTTCGTTCGAGGGAAACGGAGGAAAAAGTTAAACTTCTTGTCAAGGAGAACGAACGTCTGCAGAAACGAATTGAACTTCTGAGCGAGGAACTGAACGTCCTTCGATCCTTATTCGCTAATGTGGGCGTCGTACCGGAGCATCTCCATAGGGAGATTAACAGGCACCTGGACACTGTGCAGCAACAGCAGCACCAAGGATTATGAGAAACCGAACCCGGGATTTTGGCGGAGCCCAGTGTACACATGGACCAGGTGCGATGGCAGCAACACGACGATTGGTCTCTGGCCCACGATTTTCCGACCGTGTGCCAGCGTCAACACATCAAAGGCGTATGAGGATTCAATCAAATATCCATTTCACCGCCATCAAAGTTCCCGTGAAAGAAATCTGTATCCAAGGTGTAATCAATTCAGAAGTGGTGATATTACGGATTCGATTCAGGGAGGTGAATATGAGTGGTTACTTTTCTGTAATAATGCACGATGTAATTGCATCTATTGCAAACCAGATCTTTCGTGGCAATGTAGAGGCTCCATTCAAGTAAGCGCTCGAATGTGCCCTGATAATCCTGTCACTTATGCAAACACTATTTATGGTTGTGAGCATAGCATTCATTCGGAACATACAGATAACCAAGAACTATTTACGCTGTGCTCACCGAGTGATTTGCAGCCAGGGTTTCGTCGTGATATAAGGAAGTGTAAAACAAAGTACCTCAACAACCATCCGAGAATTAAACATTTTTCGTATGATCGTAGTGACACGATAAAATATAAACATTCTTCAGAGCAGGAACAAAACTGTTATATGACTGCAGAATGTTACAGAAATGACTGTGGTGAGAATTATCTACATCTTTTTGTATTTGTTAACACTTTGGTATTGAAAATTGGAATTTCGTATGCTATTCGGCATTGTAGATCTCTTACATGTGCAAATGAAACCAAAGTTGAGATGTTGACGACCACAAAGTCTTTCTGCAGTTTTGCATTTATTTTTGTTGGCAGTTCTGAGATGTACTTTTATAGTTTGTGTGACAGAACCAAAATTCTGTGCCTTGTGAACATGATGTACCACTGGTATGTTCTAATTGTTGTGAAAGTGATACGTAGTGACGGCAAATGTATCAGACCAAAACGTGGGAGAACTGACAAACAACAACATGGTTCCTGTGTTTTGTTGTGTTTCAGAAGTAATGGTTTTAATCCTGCTTTAGCCAAACCATCCTGACAGTGAACAAAATATATTTTAGATTTCTTGTATTAACTTTAAACGTGGGTGCTTACCTTTAGGATAATTTAAATTCGTATTACATCCTTCAAATATGCTGATTTCTTTGATTTGAGTGTAGCATTTAGTTTTCATTATTATTAAATTTTAGTGTTAATATTAAAATATTCGTAATCAAAAAATTCTCATTTCTAGTTTTCGACTTTTGAAGGAGTGACGTAATTTTACATACTAACTTGTCCGTTCCAAGTGTTGTGATTTTTTAAAAATGCCATGTTATATAGCATATTTGTATTTCAATATATTATGAGTACATATGTAAAATTAGTTGTTGTATACAGTATGAATTGTACTATAAAAGATTATACAGTGTTTAAATATCTGAGCAAAGCAGAGAGAATCGTGTGTTAATGCACCACTGTTTTCAATGGTTCCAGCAATTTGGTCTTGAAATGTAAAATTTTTAAGCCTGAATCTACTCTGATTGGTGCTGTCACGAATGTGTAAAATGCTTATCAAAATATGCAACATTATGTTTTAATTTCAAATAGATTTTTTTAAACTTTTAATAACTGTCAGTGATTTCTACTTTTAAGGAATCGTGTAAAAACATTGTATTAATACAAATCATCTGTTAAGTAAAATCACATTTTATTGTTCATATAACGCCTGAAATAGCCTCGTTGATTTATATACAGTTTTTATTCTTTAGTAATGTAAATTACCGAAAAATGAAACTGAGGTCATGCATGTAATTTTAACAAATATTTGTCAATTTTTCGAAATGCAAAATAATGTTTTTTTTGTGCTTTTAGATTCATTTTGAAATTAAGAACATGGTCATATAAGATGGCAGTCTTTGAGGCGCTCATAAGTGTAATTTTATTAATACATATCTTGTATTTATGAATTAAAAAGTATTTATTATTTACATTGTTGTGGTGAGTGTTAACCAAATGCTAAATGAAAGATGGATAGCTCTTGTGTGGAAGAATATGTGCATAAAATATATTTTGATACAAAATTCATGAATTGGAATTAGAATGTCTTGGATAATTTGTCAGACCACATTACCATTTGCATTTCCCTTACCATTTTTATACCTGTAAACTTACGTAAATAGCAATAATGAGGTTAATTTTCTGAAAACTCTTTGTGCATATTGAATTCGAGTTACTTCACGACTCATTCTAATTTCTTGTGGACCACCAGGACTTTATGTTGTGATATTTTTACTACATTTAATGAGAGGATATTAACAACCCCTGATGTTTCCTTCCTTCCATTAAAGTAGGATAATGAAAGAAAAATATCTTTGTCGGTACGTTCTAGATGAGACAGCAACATTTGCGCCGTTCAAGGGGTGATTTAAAAGTTTTTGTTTATTTTTTATGTTCTGTGCTTACAACATTTTGGCGGGAAATCTCGGAAAGCCGAACCGTTTCGAACACTGAGGAGATGTAGGTGGATAACATTAAGACTTGTCTTAGAGAACCAGGTTGTGAGAATGGGAGGTAGATGGCACTGGCCCAAGGTCGTGTCCAGTAACGGGATTTACATAAATATTATATAGTAGTGTCGAAACTTCGAGATGTAATACAGCGAAATTGTTCTGATACAGCTGAATCCTGTGCAGATTTGTGTAAATTGTAAGTTTTCCATTAAAATTGCAGTTACTTTGCGATTGGTTGTTTTCCTACGCTTTACGACAGCTAGCCAACATATACATTACATTTCGTGTTTAATAGGGATGGTCATGGTGCACTTTAAACAATTTGGCGAGAGAGAGAGAGAGAGAGGCTACGGCTTCACTCGCTGAGCTGTGTGAAGCGGATGATAAAAAACAGGATGCAGCGATCTGTGCAGTAAGGATCTACGTGGAAGTTTCCACTGAAAGAGGTTTGTGTGATTCCACTTGTCGAGGTCAGGACCAAGAACAATTAGAGAAGAAACAAGTGAAAGTAATCGATAGCTGAATGAATGAGATGATTTTATGAGCACTGAGGCTTTCCGAAGGCCCAGACGTACAGCTATGGGCAGTGACACGAGTTCGACACTCGGTCGCTCCATGGCAGAAGTTAAAAACCTTCAAGAAATTTTATCGGGAAAACAAAGGCTCAAATTATATTGCATTTGTGTCATTGTTACTTCAAAGTAAAATGGCAAAAATATAAATACACGGATGTTACTGTTGTATTTGTTTTGTACATTTCTGTTTAGTCAGTTTGAATTGTATTACTGAAATTTAGAATTGAATTTGCTCCCTTCCTCTAACTCTACGAAGCGCAGTCTTTAGAAGCTGATAGTTACTTCGGTGTTCAATAATTCCTTACTTTTATGAAACCAGAACGCTCTGTAACGTGTTCACAAGTGCCCGTCATTAGTCCTTATCCTGAGCTGCGTTAATTCATTATGCACCCTCATTTTCTATTTCGTTAGTAATAAGTTTAATAGAATAATCCCGTCCACATCTAGGTCCTTCAAGTTGTCTCTTCCCTTCAGATTTCCCTACTAAAATTTCTTGCTACAAGCCCCCTATATCATCATAGTTAACTTTTGATCGCACGAATAATATTTGGTAACAGTACAAACATAGATTTAGGCCTATGTCTTCGCATGAGTTTTCTTGATATAATAATTGTGTTTATTTCATATGACAATATTACATTATGCATGAAAAAGCTTCCAGCAACTAAATATTCAGGGACATAAAAATAATTTGTAGTATAAAATCAGTATCACCATCAACTAGCAACTAGAGCACAGACAGAGAAATTGGGAAACGGAAATAGATATGTGCGCATGCGCGCGTGCGTTTGTGTGGAGTTTGTTTTTCCGCGCATTTATCAATTCAAACCCAACATCTGTGTCAGTTCCGGGGACAAAAAAACTCTTAAAAGAACAGCCTGTAGCATATTTAAATAATGCTTAAAATGTTTAAAGGAGACGCGATAATTAAGTGACTGAAATAATGCCATGTGTGATATCGAGGGCACCATGCCAAAAGGGCGTATCAATAAAATGCTGATTTTAAGAAGACTAATTATTACGCTTATTTGGCTTACTTGGTTTAACAAATGAACGTTATTAGTGCTCATACGCCGAAACGTAGTTAACTGTATCTCGGTTGGGCAGCATAAGCATTACACACTTCTGGCTTGACCACATCCTACTGTTTTATGTTGCTAAACCAAGTATCTTTGATTGTGCAAATATGTTGTTATGCTGTAGGATATGAGACTTTCACGGCAAGTACAATCAATAAAATCTTCTCGGGCAATCAGCCGTGTTAACTGGCTACCGTAGTAAACCGACGTTTCGGGAACCAACCCTAATGGGACGCCCCCCAAACTTGTTCCTGTGGCATAACGTAACAACCTTTGACGTTCGTAGAAAATCCGACAGCAGCTTTGAACGGCCGCCGCGAACTGAACATGACCGAATGTTACTTCAACATCGTCCACGCATGCGCATTCGCTGTTACGTTATGGTAGAATGCGCAAGTGTGGACCCGGCTTTGCGTTTGTAGTCCACAAACGTCATTACTACGTAAAAACTTGCCGAGGTTACCGCAGTCCGAAGAATAATTTGCTTCACTGATTTCAAATTCCGGTTTGGAGTTTGTTGGAAACAGGTAAAGCATTTAATAAAAACATTTATATGCAACTATGGATTTCCTTATCGACACGAGTGACCTTCTAACTCATTATCACAATCTTTAAGCTCTACTTGTAGTAGAGTTACGCGCTGTGACATGATGCAACAGAACAGAAGAGTAGGAAACAGCGCATTAAGATTAAAAAAGAAGGTTGTTAATAATATCAATTTCCTGAACCTTCAAGTTTTTCATTTTAAATATACTGAAGTCTGTCATAAAGTAGTCAGATCAAGTTCAACGTTAAATGAATAGCGCTTAACTTCCATAACAACGAATTTGTTACAAACTGCGACATAAAACTAAATTTTACGTTAAAGCTACAAACATGAAAACAAATCCTGTCTCCAAGAAAATCCTGTACGGATAGCTGTGATGTTAATTAAAGTGGAAAGTGCGGATTTTAAGGTATTTCTAAGTGATAATGATTTTTAGTACAAATGTGCAAACTTTATATAGTCTACAATGAACAGAATTTTAATTCACACTAGCCTATGTAACATGTGTCATTGTCATTTTATTTTTAATTGAGTTTCGTTAAGAATATGACACTTATTACTACAAACATACATGGAACCGGCGCTAAAGGTGGCCCAGACGCGCAAGGTCCCTTTGGATTTAGCGGCAACTAAGAAACTAGAAGAACTAGCGTTGATGGGTGCACACAAGGAGAAGTAAAGCTGTCCTACTATACGCCGTGTACGCTCATGTGGCGAGAGGGGGTATAGCTTTTACTCAGTCTCAATCGGCACCAGGTGGGGGTGAGTGGTCAGCGTCACGCTCCGGTGGCGCTTTACCCCCGAGAAAGGACCGCTGTACCAACTGGATACGAGGCTGGGATGACACCAGAGCCGGGTCTGGACGCAGATACTATACTGCGTTCCAGCGATTTTGGCCGCTGAACGTTTGTGAATTGGAACCTTGGAGCGAGTCAGTTGCCAAACGTTTCCTGGAAGCGATGGCAGCAGGCTGCGTACAGTACGCTCCAAATAAAGTATCACCACGTTCTGCAACACAGGAAAGTCTATTTCACTACACTACACATCACTAGAAAATTAACACCGCAGAGAGTATTAGATACTTTGATCTTCTTCACAACTCTTCGGTCCTCTTCCAATTCTTCCACTCCCTTCGAATCTCTGGCTACACAGATGCTCGACGTTCTTCATCTTAGATGTTGTGTTCTTGCTTACAACCCATTGTTTTACATCTGCCCAAATAATTTCAATGGGGTTTAAATCGGGATTGTACGGCGGAAGTCTCAGCACAGTACGTTCTTTGTCTGCTAAAATCTGATCAATCACATATTATTTGTGCTTTGACTTATTTAATTAGATTATATCGTACAGTTGAGCTTTCAACACGTTGTCACAAAATGGGATATTTATTTCCAATAGCCAGGCTTTCATTTCGTCCTTCTTTGATTAAGACGTAGGTGGTTTGTCTGTGATACGAGGCGTTGTCAATGACCAGAAAGGAGATTGCAACGAACAGATGTCATGTTGTTAACACAGCACAGTCACAAGACAACAATTATCAGGCTTCTACACTGCTGCACTGACACAGACTGTACTGACAGACGGAAACTCCTTCCTTCCTTCATTGAGTGGTCCGCATACTGGACTCTCCCTACAAGGTCAGCGGGCATAATCGGTGGATCCAGTTCTACAGTAAAAATCCCCTGCCCCTGTGGGATATAGAACCCTGGTCATCCACTCCGAAGACAGGCAACTGATAGTATTCTTTTACTCTTGTTAGTCTTTCTTTATGAACATGCAGCTGTTTTTTATAAACTTAGTAAATAGCTGCACAGTGACTTTTTATGTTGTTATTTTTAGCACCTGTCATTATAATCTTTACCTACAAATAAATTCTGTTGCCTAATTTTTCTTGGAATTCTTTAACAATTCTATACTTGCCACATTCAGATCATTGTTTCTATAAGTCGGCCCACGTTTAGAGTTTTTCGTTTTGGTTAGTGGCTCCAAATCCTACATTATTTTCATAATTTCTGTACGTTCCTTTATCCCCACTTGTCTAAGGGTCACCTGTGCAAAACTTCGACATTATAGTTGTATCACACAAGTTAAAAGAATTATAAGAATTTTCTTTCAAACACCAGCTGCTATGATCAACCCACACGTTTCTGGGCACACTAGTATCAGACTCAGTTGGGTACTCTCAGTACAAATATCATCGTGCTTGAGTCGCTATATACCTTGGAAAATCAAATATATTCTGGCCTCGGTGACCGCATAAAAGGAGACGGCCATTTCTAAGAGGGGGTGAATTATCTCTGAATTATGTATAACAGCATGGACTGCAATCCTTCTTAGGAAGCTGATTGTCGCTCAGCTGGCCAAAGGATTTCCCGCATTTCTGGAGACCGAAGGTTGATTATCATGTTCACTTTAACTCTCCCTAGGTCGTTTGTAACATTTCGCAACTGCTACTTTTGCGATGGGTAGCAGTTACTCCGACAACCTCCTTACTCCAAGCTCAAGGATCATTCCTTGTCGGTCATAATCGATTGCTTAGTTCGATATGTTCATGGCTACCTCTCCTCCACCTTACGGAGCGCCATCTTGTGATGGCAAGAGGACACTTAAAATAGCTCACGCAAAGCCCTAAACGAACCGTTTATACATAGAGTATATATATCTCAAGTTCAAATCTGCCACTGTTAACGTAAAAAACCTTGTCACATACGTAGGCACGTCAATTGGCAAGGAATACCTCAAGCCCCATTCTAATCTTGTCACTTAACACAACCGCTAAACAAGTTAACACATCCTACCCTTGTCCATCGGGATGAGATGTCGTAAGCCCATATTACCCAAAGATTCGCCCCAATATAATACCAAAGAAGGCAAGCAGAAGATCAACTTTACAGCATGACTGTGAAACTAACAACCATAACTAATCTATGGAGAGACGAGGTTTGAGAAACTGACAGTCGCTCAGCTGGTGAAACAAATTACCCGCCCTTTATGAAAACCAAAGGTCTATTACTGTGTTCATAGTATCCCGCCAAGGTACCCAAACCTGAAACAGCTGATTCCACTCCACACCCAAACATCGTATTTCTTTACGTTAAATTCAAACATTTTCCTCCCAATTACGTTTTCTCTTCCTTCCATGTTTTCCGACGATACGTTCATATGCACACCTCGCAGTTAAAATCTGAATGTGAGAGATAGGCTTTAACCAGAGGTTTGGAAAAATACTTAATAATTTATAAGCTGATCCAATCACAGCATATGAGACAGATGAGACATGTATTACGCATAAGGGATTTGGAAAAAACTGAACATATTTTAATCGGTAAACTTGAACGGTAGATACAACTTGGGAGACCTAAGCGCAGATGGGATGATACTATTAAAATGGATCTTATACAAATAGGTGGCAGATGATCCAGGAGTGGTTTGCCATTGCCTTCTTCTGTGTGTGAATGGAGTAATTGTTGGGATGCCACGGAGAAACCGGGGAAGCCCCCGGAGGAAAACTCCGTGTTGCCTAGACCACGGCCTTGCCCAACACAAGTTATAAATTCGGGTACCGCCGGGAATCGAACCCGAGACCCCAGGATTACAAGGCCAGCGTTCTAACCGCTAGACTACCATGGCTGTAGGGAGTAGACTGCATTAAACTGCCTCAGGTCACTTTTCAATGGCGGGCTCTTGTGAACACAACAAACCACTGGGTTCCAAAGATGGGCTTAGTGAGGGCTTTGCTTCATAGAATTAGTCATAAAAATTATTTTTACAGCACAAGGCGAAAATACCTGTGTTTTACCCAGACGATAAAGGACAGAGGAATGTTTTCAAAATGCACTTACTGGGATCGAAATTCAGCCTGGAAAGCTGAAAACAATCTCCTTCCTGACCGAGATAAGCCTTCTATATCAAGGACCAACATGCGGCCCCTAAACATTTCCTGTATGGTGCGTAACAGACACCTGACAGAAAACACGCACTGCTGTTCACAGTATTTAGCAGTGTTTCACTATCGCTGTAAGGAACTGCTCAACTTATTCGTGCAAAGCCACAAATCAAGAACTAGGCCGCGTGCCTCATTGCTGTTCAGTTGATAGGGTGCAAACGAATAGTAATTAAACCCCATACGGTAATACTGATCAATCAAAAGAAACGTCAGATATCTCTGTAATGATAGATTTTGTTACAGGAAATTGAGTAATACATGAAACTAACTGCAACAGTAAGCCCAATTTAGTAGAATTTATAATACACAGAAATAAAATCTCAATAAATCATCATGAGTCTTATTTAATGCGTCTTTCTTTGTGACAGGCAACACATTTTAGGCTCTACCGTAAAATTAAACTTGAATTTTCATTCAATGCCACTGTATCAATTAACATGTAAGAGTTAATCAGCCATCGGATAAAAGTGTTGTCTCCGATGGTTGAATTGCTGTATTACTGAAGAACTTGTCGATCCTAACAGGTAGTTATGCCATATCTGGTCGTCGCCTTCAGCATTACAAGTTACATGTTAATGCGACAATTATGCCTGGAAGAACAAAACAAGCGTTATTTTTATTTCTCAAGCACTATGTTCAAAACGTCCGGGGGAATGGGCACGTGATGTAGGGTCACGCCATGAGATGGCGCCGTGCCGGGTCTCCAGGCAACTGTCAATGGCGTGAGGCGCCGTGGCTCTGGGCTTTCAAGAGCAGCCGACACGGTAAGGCACCGTCCGGTCCGGTTTTCCAGAAGAACAGCGCCCTACTTTATTATTCTCTTTCTAGGAAAGCCTAATATGCTTATATGTTGCGAGAGACTACAAATATCATACGGAATGAAGAAGCGTCTCTCTCAAAATCCTCCAAATAAATTGGTCTAGGTGGCAAACATGTGGCACGTGACGAATGTGGGATTATGAAGTGCGCAACTTAACTCCTACCACACACAACTTAACCTGGCATCATAACCTAATTTATCTAACTTGATTTATTAACTTAACAGTCTAACCTGGCAGAATCAAACTTAATGTAACTTAATTTATCTTAAACTAACAACCTAACTCTATGTTAACGTAATCTAATTTAACCTAACTCAGCTTAACTTAACGTAACCTAACCTTCAATTGGTGGGGGAGGTAGTAAGAAGCCGGGACCCAACCAGACCACAGATATTTGAAAATTGATTACAGTAATCTTTTATTTCCAAACATTATTTATATTCTACAAAGAAGTAACAGGATATTTTTTCTGATTAATTTAATCAGACTCATAAATTTACTCACTGAACATGGCTTTACTCGACTGGCAGCTTTCAGTTCTTAATTACCTTTTATTCTGTCTCTAGTCCAAATGCAACAAAAGATTAATTCATTTTACTGTAAAAGGTAATCACAGCATTTACTTAACTGCACGTGTATCAGACTTCATACACAAGCTAATATAATGTTTAGTGTAGAACGCCTGCCGTGGCGAACATAATTTTAATATTGTTGCATCACCTGTCACTCACAACGGCACTGATGGCTGAGGATCTCTGCAGAACAAATTGACCCGACGCTGCTTTCACTGATTTGTAATGTGTGACAATAACATCGGGCTGCAGCCATCCCCTCCACACAGGCTCCACCCCCTGGGGACGGCTACTCCACAGTGTATGAGAAATAAGCCGGCCTTTCCCTCCACATAATAATAATAACAACAACAACATAAATTATAGGAGCAATTGGAATTGTCTCCAAGTCTCTCTCTCAAAAAATATTTGGCCAACATCCCGGGCGATCACGAAATCAGGGAACTTCAGAAATCCGCCATTCTAGAAACATCTTATATCATTCGAAAGACGCTCATGTAAAATATATAATGCCTCACACGAAATCTGTATAATGCATGTAACACGTATTAAAGAACAAAATGTATTTCGGAAATAGCTGCAGCACTATGTACCTCAGGAGCAAGGTTTGTCTCAGGTACATAGAAGTAAATACCCTATAAACTGGCGAATAAAAGATATAATAATAAC